GATCACCTGAGGTCAGGAGTTTGAGACCAGCCTGGCCAACATGGTGAAACCCCGTCTCTACTAAAAATACAGAAATTAGCCGGGCATGGTGGCAGGGGCCTGTATTCCCAGCTACTCTGGAGGCTGAGGCAGGAGAATCGCTTGAAGCTGGGAGGTGGTGGTTGCAGTGAGCTGAGATCACGCCACTGCACTCCAGCCTGGGTGACAGAGTGAGACTCTGTCTCAAGTAAAAGAAAAGAAAAGAAAAGAAGTATCTGTTTAATTATGCTAAGTAAAATAAGCCAGTGACAGAAGGACAAATGCTCTACCATCCCACTTATGTGAGGTACCTAGAATAGGCAAATAAATACACAGAGACATAAAGTAAAAGAGAGATTGCCAGGGGATAAGGGGTAGAGGAGAAGTTCTTCTTTAGTGAGTACATAGTTTATGTTGGGGATGATGAAAAAGTTTTGGGTGCAGATGGTGGTGATGATTGCACAACATTATGAATGTATTTAATGCCACTGAATTTGTACATTTACAGCTGGTTAAAATGGTAACTATTATGTATGCTTTATCACAATTTTTAAAAAGGTAACAAAAAAGAAGTATTTGTTTAAGTAGGTTTTCTTTGTAGATTGCAAGCTTGTGGGAATGGGGAAAGAGCATGATCTTTTCATCTTTATACAAGCACAGTGCTCGACATGAGGTGATCGCTCACCATTGCTTCAGTTCAGGACTGGAAATCAATGGAAAGGAAGCACAGTTAACGCAAGGTTTCCCTATATCTTTCAGAAGGTTTTGAAATTTCATTTTAATGTCAAATCAGTTTTATCAGAGGGAATCCTGATTAGTTGCAATTGTTTGTGGATATGTATTGGCTTTAAAAGAAAACAAAAAATGATATTAAAAGTCATCCAAAATGACTATTTTCTTAGCTTTCTCCTTTTATGGGTAGCATTTTAACAAAATCAATTTGAGTAATAATAACTTATATTATATAACACTTAGCAGCTTTTTCAGAGAGTTTTCATAGCTTGCACCATTTGAAGCCACAGAAAGCGTCAACTTCTTGTTTTTTTGTTTTGTTTAATTTTTTTCTTTTTTTTTTGAGACGGAGTCTCGCTCTGTCACCCAGGCTGGAGTGCAGTGGCACAATCTCAGCTCACTGCAGCCTATACCTCCCGGATGCAAGCGATTCTCCTGCCTCAGCCTCCTGAGTAGCTGGGACTACAGGCATGTGCCACCATGCCTGGCTAATCTTCTATTTTTCGTAGAGACAGGGTTTCTCCAGGTTGGCCAGGATGGTCTCGATCTCCTGACCTTATGATCCACCTGCCTTAGCCTCCCAAAGTGCTGGGATTACAGGCGTGAGCCACCGCACCCGGCTGAACTTCTTGTATAGTGTAACTGAGCAACTATTTTTCCTGCTCCTTGGGTTCTAGATTCTTGCATAAATTTAAGGGTGTACTTTAAGCATTAATCTTAACCATTTCAGTTCATATTACTGTAACCGCTCAAGGGACTCTTCCTACCTGCTGCACAAAGAAAGACCATGGCATTGCAACCGCTGCCTGGACAAAATCCATTTACCAAGACAGGGGAATTGCAATGGAGAAAGAGTAATTCACACAGAGCCCACTGTGTGGGAGACCGGAGTTTTATTATTACTCAAATCAGTCTCCACGAGCATCCAGGGATCAGAGTTTTTAAAGATAATTTCGCGGGTAAGGCCTTGAGAAGTGGGGAGGGCTGATTGCTCAGGTTGGAGATGGAATTATAGGGGGTCGAAGTGAGGTTTTCTTGCTGTCTTTTGTTCCTGGGTGGGATGGCAGAACTGATTGAGCCAGATTATGGGTCTGGGTGGTGTCAGCTGATCCATCAAGTGCAGGGTCTGCAAAATATCTCAAGCATTGATCTTAGGTTTTACAATAGTGATGTTATCCCAAGGAGCAATTTGGGGAGGTTCAAACTCTTGGAGCCAGAGGCTGCACAACCCCTAAACTGTAATTTCTAACCACTAGCTAAGTTGTTAGTCCTGCAAAGGCAGACTCGTCCCCAGGCAAGAAGGGGGTCTTTTTGGGAAAGGGCTGCTATCAATTTTGTTTCAGAGTCAAGCCATGAACTGAATTCCTTCCCAAAGTTAGTTCGGCCTACATCCAGGAATGAACAAGGATAGCTTAAAGGTTAGAAGCAAGATGGAGTTGATTAGGTCTGATTTTATTCACTGTCATAATTTCCTCAGTTATAATTTTGCAAAGGCGGTTTCAGCATTTTAGTAAAGAAAGAGTTTAAGTAGACACAAGGCCGGCCATACCATGTGGGAGATGGAATTAGTAGTGAAATAATCTCCGCCAAAGCTCATAGGTTAGGAGTTTTTCAAAGGCAGTTTAGGGGAATGGGTGGAGGTGGCTAGGCTTGCTGCTGATTGTTTGAGGAGGAGATGAAATCAGTGTCCTTTGATTTCAAAAATACAATGAGGGATAAATTGATAGGATGTCTGGGAATTTGCTTCAAAATAAGCTGGGGAGGAAAAATAGCCAGGGGGGTAGGAGAAGTATAAATAAAACTTGATTGGCCATGAACAGATGGTTGAAATGGAATATTGGGTACGTAGGTGGTTTTATTATAGTGTTCTCACTATACTAGTATAAAATTGAAGTTTTCCGTAATAAAGTTTTTCTTTGTTAAGAAAAACAAAGCAGAGTGAGATTCTAAATTGAAGTTGCCAATGGCCTATTGTTCTTTTAAGTCTGCTCAGTTAATTCAGTTAAGGAAGTTATTTGAAAACAGGGTGCTAATGCGCGTCTTCTTTTTCTGGGGTATGGTGGCTCACCCCGAGAAGATTAATGACTGGAACACACACATGGAGTTAAGGGGAGGAAAGTTTAATAGGCAGAAGAAAGGAGAGAGGAGAGCAACTCTCTCTCTTGTGAGAGAGGCGTCCAAAAAAGGGACAAGTGGCGGACTGCAGCAGATTTTATAGGCAGGCGTGAGGAGGCGGTGTCTGATTTACATAGGGGCCACAGATTAGTTCCACCAGATGTGACATTTACATAGCATGTGGGAAGGCTGATCGTCCCACCCTAATCTTATTTTGCAAAGGGGCTTTCTACTTGGCCAGTGCCATCTTGTCTGCTCCTTACCGTACACTTAGCTGGCAAAGAGAAGATGGAGCCGCCATTTTGAAAGTGCCTAGTCCTAGGTAATATTTTTCTATTGGCACAACTGCCAGCATTCGCCTGTGCAAGCTTCCAGCTTGCTTATCTATATCTGCAGCTCAATTTTACAGGCTTCTCTTTGTTAGAAAAGAAAATGATTTGGGGGCTGCTTTTTATTAAAAGGAAAACCTTACTGAGGACTCCCATACCCTCACTATCTGCCTAAGTAATTTCTTCTCAACTCCTATATCACTATTATTTAGCTCAAGGCACTATCAAGATAATCCCTTGAAAGTTTATTACCAGTCCATGTTTTAAATCCTGAGTCAAACATTTGCATCTCTTAAATAAGGTCCATTTTGACATACATGCTCCCTTCAAAAATGTATATACACAAATACACACATAAAACTATAACCTGGCCAGATGCAGTAGCTCACACCTGTAATCCCAGCACTTTACGAGGCCCTTAAGCAGGAGGATTGCTTGAATCCAGGAGTTCGAGACCAACCCAGGTAATATAGTGAGACCCACCCCCCCCATCTCTAAAAAAAATAAACAAAATTAACCAGGGATAGCCAGACGCAGTGGCTCACAGCTGTAATCCCAGCACTTTGGGAGGCTGAGGTTGGAGGATCACTTGAGGTCACGAGTTCAAGACCAGCCTGGCCATCATGGTGAAACCCTGTCTCTATGAAAAATACAAAAAAGAGCATCTGCACAGGCCGGAGGGAAAGAAAGGAGTTGGAAGAACTGAAGCCCACGTAGCTGGTGGGCAGGCAGGAGTGCAAATGGATGTGAGGCTGAGATCTTAGCAGGGCCAGAGCACATGGCCTTGCAGCCACACCACAGTCATGGTTGCACAAATGGTGTCCTGAACAGCTGTTTGAATGTGTCTCAAGTACTCAGACTAAACACTTCTAAATCGGTAGTGGAATGAATGTGTAACCAAGAAAAATTGATTTTTTTTTCAGAATTTCAGAATGGAATAGGGATAGTTTTCAGGGAAAATGGATGAAGCAGTACTGTGGTGGGGAAAGTGTTCAAAGTTAATATTACCATAATTTCAGAACACCACAGTGAATACCTTGGAAAGCATCATCTTCTGAGACTTTGACTGTGACCATGTGAAAGGTGGAGAGAGAATTCAGGATTAACTTTGTCTGTTTTCCCATGTTCAAGGGCCATTGTGTTACACCAAAAATTGGCAAAGAGTCATAGATTATATTTAAGCTCAGATTTCAAAACTGCCCATGACTATTTTGGCAGGATTTGTCATGGGTTTTGTTTTGTTTTGTTTTGTTTTTGTAAGCAATCTAGATACAGACGTTTGTTTTTAGTCAGACAGCCTGGAGGGAGCTTTAATGTTGGGGTTCTTCGTACATGTAAATACCATGCTGGATAATTAATTGGGATTTCCTGGAGCAATGTTTTGTTTTTTTTTTTAATTTTAAGAAACTGTACTGTAAACAGTTTTTTCATTCTTGTGGCTAAAGAGAAGCTTTTCTCTGGACTTCTAATATTTGCCAACCCTGAGGGAAACGCAAAGCATGTGAGTCAGGCCTCAGGACCCTCCCTGCCCTCCACTGAGGGGACCAATGAGTTTGAGGAACAAGAGTGGATAAACCGTTAACTCTCATCTGCCCTCCCTCCCTCCACTTCAGGGTGTGTACTCCTAGTCTGAATATTGTCCTACTTAGAGGTTTCTCCATGATCTTAAGTCTCTGTTGTTCATAGCTTTCCCTCCTCTGCCCTCATCCCTCTAGGTTATTAGGTTCCTGCAACTTAACTGGGAACTGATCAAGATTTCAAGCTAAGATGGTGGTGATGAACAGCCTAAGGGTCATTCTTCAAGCATCTCCAGGCAAATTGCTGTGGAGAAAGTTCCAGATTCCGAGATTCATGCCAACGAGGCCCTGCAGCCTCTATACTTGTACTTACAAAACCCGGAACCGAGCCTGTGAGTACACCACTTCCTTAAAGAGAACAAAAAGGGCTCCAGCCTGAGTGACAGAGCGAAATCTCATCTCTTAGAAAAAAAGAAAAGAGGGAGCAAGTGTGCAAGAGCAAAAATACTTGTCTTTATAATAATCACACATGTTAAACATTTGCAGCTATGCTGTCTTTGGCTTTTCAGTGTAGGATTATGTGCCTTATGAACTGTGAGAATAGCTATTTCTCTATTGATTCATGAAAGTAAATGTAGAATGTTCTTTCTTGACTAATTTTAGCATGTTAAAATGATGTCATGCAGAAACTGGACAAGAGACAGATCCCAGTTTTTAATATTTTGGAACCCGTTGTTTATTATTTCTTGGTAGCAATTGTCTTTTTTTTTTTTTTTTTCTTTTAAACAAAGCTTGATCCACAAACCACAAATTATTTCTGGGAACCTTACATTTCTGGAAGTTGCATGTAAATGTTTGTAAGCAGTTTACTAGCTTCAACATTCTGGAATATTCTGTCCTGAGTTAGGAATTACAAAGTTAATTCTAGCTGTTCAGTTTGCAAGTGTGTGCTCTGCTGTAAGGATGGAAGATTGAGTGAGGCAGGAAATGGTCTTCCTCACACCTCTCTCATCTCGTTCCCCTTCTGGAAATACAAGGCATTGTCCATGTCCGGATGTAGCAGGGATTCTCCACTGCGGCGTGATGGACATTGAGGATGGATCATTGTGTGTTGTGGGAGGTTGTCCTGTGTCCTGGAGGGTCTTTACAGCATTCCTGGCCTCTGCCTACTAGTTGCTTAGTAGCACCCTCATGAAGCTATAACAACCAAAACTGTCTGCAGATTGCCAAACATGCTCTGCGTTACTGCCCTGGAGAGGGCAGTTGAGAGGATAGGAAAGGATAATGTGTGTATTTGTGGACAGATAACTTTGAGTTAATGGAGATATGAAATGGCTAAGTATTATCATTAAGGAGGAATTTTTCATGTTTTCCGTTACTTAAAAAACACAGGCACAGAGTTTTCAAATGTTGGGTTGCACTGAGGTCTAGGTTTCTCCATATGGGGTCTCCACTTTGACCGCATATGCACATAATAAAAAGACTGGGTAAGAATGGAATGCTTGTAAATTAGTAGTGCTAATCTAGCTACATCCAAGGGCTTGAAACTGCTCCACAAATATATTTTCACTGTAAGTTTATTTTGTTTCCTTCAACATTGACTGTGTTCTTTTTCAAATAAACGGGCCAGAGGCATAATAAATTTCTGGTTGCTAGGTGTGGTTTCCTACAAATATGCCACATCCTACCGAGACTGGCTTATTCTGCACACTGGCACTTTGTGGTCTAAGGTTTATATTGCAAAGTATTAGTAGTTTTGCTGTTTTTTTTTTTTTTTTTGACAGTTGAAATTAAACATCCAAATCCGGTATGCTTATGTAGTTAGGATAGTTTGCTGGTTTTAATGCTGACAAAAAAAACAAACAGTAGTGGCTTTGGGAGGGGCAGCTTTACTTAGTGAATTTCCCACAACAGATGACATGTTCTTGTTTCTAAGTTACTAGGAAAAACAGGGGACAGTCACCATTTGATTTTGTTTGTAGCATATTACACTGTTCCAACCTGTTTGCCCCAAGAATAATATTGTGGTCTTTGCTGCTCTGGGCCTTTGAGCAGGTCCTATTTCTATGTTCTGTACCCTCATCTGCTCAATTGTAAAGACAGTTCTCATTGTTTCTCACAGCTCGGTACCCCAACAGTAGGCCAGTGTACACTTGTGACCAAGAATGACCCCAGATTCTTGAGGGTTTGAAAAGATAACATGTGTTGATGAAAAAAGCCAAACTCTAAAATATTTGAAGAGGTTCATTCTGAGCCAAATATGAGTGACCGTGGCCCATGATACAGCCTCAAGAGGTCCTGAGAACACATGCCCAAGGTGGTTGGGTTACAGCATGGGGGAGACAGAAGTTACAGGCAAGACATAAATCAATACCTGTAAGGTATACATTGTGAGGGCGAAACTCTGATTTTTTTTATCTTGCCCAAATTCCTATCTAAGGGGTCTGGGGAGTCATGCCCCACAAATCACAAATTGTTACCAGATGGGTTTTATTTAACCCATATATCGTGATTTACTTTCCAACCTGACTTTGGCGTAACATTACAAGACAAAGAAGAAAATCAAAATATTTTACCCCAAAACATGTTTCTTTGCCATATTTTGAAATTGCCCTGCAAAGCTGTTCTTTGTGGGGGGGAAATTGTATCTGTAAAGAATCTCTATTAACATAGCTAGATCTTTTTTTTCCAGACCCTCCCAATCCTAAAGAGATTAACTAAGATCTGAATAGGAAATATTTCTCATCTATTGTCTCTAAGGGCAGCCACTATAAGACTTCAAAAGAACTTTGGTCTCCACATCTTTTTCTTAACCCGAACCATTCCCTTTCTGCCAATCCCAGGTCTTTAGACAAATTCAACCAATTGTCAACCAGAAAATGTTTAAATTTACCTATAGCCTAGAAGCCCCCCCCCAACCCCCACCCCAGCTTTGAACTGTCCCGCCTTTCTGGACCAAACCAGTGTATTTCTTAAATGTATTTGATTGATGTCTCATGCCTCTCTAAAATGTATAAAAACAAGCTGTACCCTGAGCACCTTGGGCACATGTTCTCAGGTCCATGTGGGAGCTGTGTCGCGGGCCACAGTCACCCATATTTGGCCCAGAATAAATCTCTTCAAATATTTACAGAGTTTGACTCTTTTCGTCAACACTTGGTTTGGCCTGGAAAGGTAGGACATCTCTAAGCAGGGGCTTACGGTCATAAGTAAGTGGATTCAAAGATTTTCTGTTGGCTGGGCACGGTGGCTCACGCCTGTAATCCCAGCACTTTGGGAGGCCGAGGCGGGCAGATCACAAGGTCAGGAGATCGAGACCACAGTGGAACCCCGTCTCTACTAAAAATACAAAAAATTAGCTGGGCACAGTGGCGGGTGCCTGTAGTCCCAGCTACTCAGGAGGCTGAGGCAGGAGAATGGCGTGAACCCGGGAGGCGGGACTTGCAGTGAGCCGAGATTGCACCACTGCACTCCAGCCTAGGCGACAAAAAAACAAAGATTTTCTGTTTGGCTGTTTGGCAGTTGGTTGAAAAAGTTAAGCTTTGCCTAAAGAGTTGAAGTCAACTGAAAGAAATGCTTCAGTTAAGATAAGGGGGATTGTAGAAGCCAAGGTTCTTGTTATGTAGATGAAGCCTCCCATTAGCAGGTTTAGAGAGATTAAATGGTAAAACATCTCTTATGGGACCTTAAAAGGTGTCAGATCTTTCCTGAATCAGGAAAAGACCTGGAAAGGGACAGGGGCTCTCTACAGAATGCACATTTATCCCACAAGGGATGGCTTTGCAGGGCTATTTCAAAATGTGTCAAAGAAATATATTTTGGGATAAGGCTGGGTGCAGTGACTCACGCCTGTAATCCCAGCACTTTGGGAGGCTGAGGCAGGTGGATCACCTGAGGTCAGGAGTTTGAGATGAGCCTGGCCAACATGGTGAAACCCCATCTCTACTAAAAATACAAAAATTAGCCAGGTGTGGTGGCACACACCTGTAATCCCAGCTACTCAGGAGACTGAGGCAAAAGAATCACTTGAACCCAGGAGGCGGAGATTCCGGGTGAGCTGAGATCACGCCATTGCACTCCAGCCTGGGCGACAAGAGCGAAACTCTCTCCCAAAAAATAAATAAATACATAAATAAATAAATTTTGGGGTAAAATACTTTGATTTCTTTCAGAGCCTTCTATCTGTCATGTGATGCTATACCAGGGTCAGGTTGGAGGTAGGTATTTTATTGCTACAAAGATTCTATGTCAGTCTTATGATCTCTATTTGAGTGTTAATGCTGGTCAGTTGTGCCTAAACTCTAAAGGGAGGGAGTATAATGAGACATGCCCAACCTCTCTTCCCCTCTTGGCCTGAACTAGTTCTTCAGGTTTCTTTGGGATCCCCCTCCCAGGGTAGGGGGGATCCATTCAGTCCACTGGGGAGCTTAGAATTTCATTTCTGGTTTGCATGTGCAAAGTCCTTAGCTAGTGCTGTCACATAGTGAGGACTCAGTGTTGGGAGCTACTTCTAGTACTACAATTGTTATCATCATCATAGGCTCAGTGCCTGTCTCAGATGTTTAAATCTGACCCTTTTAAGAGGAGGCAAAGCAGAATAAGGAGTGGATGGAAGTAGGAGGTTGTGGCAAATTCGGAAAGCAGCATTTGAGGTCAGCCCTGTGCTCTGTGCTTATCATATCTTTGCTCCCAAGGCTCTCCACAGATAATCTTTAGCTGTCAACTCAGATTGCTGTTTGCTGTTATCTCAGGTAGCAGACAGTAACTGTTGATAGTCCTAACTTTGGAGACTTGTAATATAATAAGATAAAGATAAAAGCCTATACCTCTTATCCAATGTGGAAATAAAATCAGTTTCCCTTAGGTATCATCTGGTGAAATTTAGTCTAATGGTCACATAAAAAGATTTAGGCATGAGATCTTAGACCATAGGAAAGTGCATTTAATAATTCTTAATTGAATGAAATATAAAGAATATCAGGTAGAATGGAAATGATACTGATTTGTTATTCCAATGATTCTTAATATTCATGATCTCCTTACTTGTAGAAGAAAGAGAAACCTGTTAGGATAATAGGGACTAAAGAAGCCAGCACTGTATAAAATGTAGCCACTAACCCAATGTGGGTATTTACATGTAAATTTAAATTCATTAAAATTTTATAGCTACCTATGCCTAGATCTTAATATACTGGACATTTCTATCATCAGAGAAAGTTCTATTTGACAGCAGTAATCTATATCGTAACTGTACTGTGTTTGAAAGTTATTCTATTATTTCTCCAATTAATTTTGAAGAATACAATAAAGCCTGGAGAGTAATAAAAAGCTTCTTTTGCAGTGTTTTCACAAAGAATTCTGAAATATAGACTCAGGATGCCCCTAGATTGTC